CTCGCTCCCTGGCAGCAGTACACACTACAGTGCTTCCTCGCTCCCTGGCAGCAGCAGCACACTACATTGCTTCCCTCGCCATCTGACAGCAGCAGCACACTACAGTGCTTCCCTCGCCCCCTGGCAGCAGCACACACTACAGTGCTTCCTCGCTCCCTGGCAGCAGCACACACTACAGTGCTTCCCTCGCTCCCTGGCAGCAGCACACACTACAGTGCTTCCTCGCTCCCTGGCAGCAGCACACACTACAGTGCTTCCTCGCTCCCTGGCAGCAGCACACACTACAGTGCTTCCTCGCTCCCTGGCAGCAGCACACACTACAGTGCTTCCTCGCTCCCTGGCAGCAGCACACACTACAGTGCTTCCTCGCCCCCTGGCAGCAGCACACACTACAGTGCTTCCTCGCTCCCTGGCAGCAGCACACACTACAGTGCTTCCCTCGCTCCCTGGCAGCAGCACACACTACAGTGCTTCCCTCGCCCCCTGGCAGCAGCACACACTACAGTGCTTCCCTCGCTCCCTGGCAGCAGCACACACTACAGTGCTTCCCTCGCCCCCTGGCAGCAGCACACACTACAGTGCTTCCTCGCTCCCTGGCAGCGGCACACACTACAGTGCTTCCCTCGCTCCCTGGCAGCAGCACACACTACAGTGCTTCCTCGCCCCCTGGCTGCAGCACACAGTTCAGTGCTTCCCTCGCTCCATGGCTGCAGCACACAGTTCAGTGCTTCCCTCGCTCCCTGGCAGCAGTACACACTACAGTGCTTCCTCGCTCCCTGGCAGCAGCAGCACACTACATTGCTTCCCTCGCCATCTGACAGCAGCAGCACACTACAGTGCTTCCCTCGCCCCCTGGCAGCAGCACACACTACAGTGCTTCCTCGCTCCCTGGCAGCAGCACACACTACAGTGCTTCCCTCGCTCCCTGGCAGCAGCACACACTACAGTGCTTCCTCGCTCCCTGGCAGCAGCACACACTACAGTGCTTCCTCGCTCCCTGGCAGCAGCACACACTACAGTGCTTCCTCGGTCCCTGGCAGCAGCACACACTACAGTGCTTCCTCGCTCCCTGGCAGCAGCACACACTACAGTGCTTCCTCGCCCCCTGGCAGCAGCACACACTACAGTGCTTCCTCGCTCCCTGGCAGCAGCACACACTACAGTGCTTCCCTCGCTCCCTGGCAGCAGCACACACTACAGTGCTTCCCTCGCCCCCTGGCAGCAGCACACACTACAGTGCTTCCCTCGCTCCCTGGCAGCAGCACACACTACAGTGCTTCCCTCGCCCCCTGGCAGCAGCACACACTACAGTGCTTCCTCGCTCCCTGGCAGCGGCACACACTACAGTGCTTCCCTCGCTCCCTGGCAGCAGCACACACTACAGTGCTTCCTCGCTCCCTGGCAGCAGCACACACTACAGTGCTTCCTCGCTCCCTGGCAGCAGCACACACTACAGTGCTTCCTCGCTCCCTGGCAGCAGCACACACTACAGTGCTTCCTCGCTCCCTGGCAGCAGCACACACTACAGTGCTTCCTCGCCCCCTGGCAGCAGCACACACTACAGTGCTTCCTCGCTCCCTGGCAGCAGCACACACTACAGTGCTTCCCTCGCTCCCTGGCAGCAGCACACACTACAGTGCTTCCCTCGCTCCCTGGCAGCAGCACACACTACAGTGCTTCCTCGCTCCCTGGCAGCAGCGCACACTACAGTGCTTCCCTCGCTCCCTGGCAGCAGCACACACTACAGTGCTTCCTCGCTCCCTAGCAGCACACACTACAGCGCTTCCCTCGCCATCTGACAGCAGCACACACTACAGTGCTTCCTCGCTCCCTGGCAGCAGCACACACTACAGTGCTTCCCTCGCCCCCTGGCAGCGGCACACACTACAGTGCTTCCCTCGCTCCCTGGCAGCAGCACACACTACAGTGCTTCCTCGCCCCCTGGCTGCAGCACACAGTTCAGTGCTTCCCTCGCTCCATGGCTGCAGCACACAGTTCAGTGCTTCCCTCGCTCCCTGGCAGCAGTACACACTACAGTGCTTCCTCGCTCCCTGGCAGCAGCAGCACACTACATTGCTTCCCTCGCCATCTGACAGCAGCAGCACACTACAGTGCTTCCCTCGCCCCCTGGCAGCAGCACACACTACAGTGCTTCCCTCGCCCCCTGGCAGCAGCACACACTACAGTGCTTCCTCGCTCCCTGGCAGCAGCACACACTACAGTGCTTCCCTCGCTCCCTGGCAGCAGCACACACCACAGTGCTTCCTCGCTCCCTGGCAGCAGCACACACTACAGTGCTTCCCCGCTCCCTGGCAGCAGCACACACTACAGTGCTTCCTCGGTCCCTGGCAGCAGCACACACTACAGTGCTTCCTCGCTCCCTGGCAGCAGCACACACTACAGTGCTTCCTCGCCCCCTGGCAGCAGCACACACTACAGTGCTTCCTCGCTCCCTGGCAGCAGCACACACTACAGTGCTTCCCTCGCTCCCTGGCAGCAGCACACACTACAGTGCTTCCCTCGCCCCCTGGCAGCAGCACACACTACAGTGCTTCCCTCGCTCCCTGGCAGCAGCACACACTACAGTGCTTCCCTCGCCCCCTGGCAGCAGCACACACTACAGTGCTTCCTCGCTCCCTGGCAGCGGCACACACTACAGTGCTTCCCTCGCTCCCTGGCAGCAGCACACACTACAGTGCTTCCTCGCTCCCTGGCAGCAGCACACACTACAGTGCTTCCTCGCTCCCTGGCAGCAGCACACACTACAGTGCTTCCTCGCTCCCTGGCAGCAGCACACACTACAGTGCTTCCTCGCTCCCTGGCAGCAGCACACACTACAGTGCTTCCTCGCCCCCTGGCAGCAGCACACACTACAGTGCTTCCTCGCTCCCTGGCAGCAGCACACACTACAGTGCTTCCCTCGCTCCCTGGCAGCAGCACACACTACAGTGCTTCCCTCGCGCCCTGGCAGCAGCACACACTACAGTGCTTCCTCGCTCCCTGGCAGCAGCGCACACTACAGTGCTTCCCTCGCTCCCTGGCAGCAGCACACACTACAGTGCTTCCTCGCTCCCTAGCAGCACACACTACAGCGCTTCCCTCGCCATCTGACAGCAGCACACACTACAGTGCTTCCTCGCTCCCTGGCAGCAGCACACACTACAGTGCTTCCCTCGCCCCCTGGCAGCAGCACACACTACAGTGCTTCCCTCGCCATCTGACAGCAGCACACACTACAGTGCTTCCCTCGCCCCCTGGCAGCAGCACACACTACAGTGCTTCCCTCGCCCCCTGGCAGCAGCACACTACAGTGCTTCCTCGCCCCCTGGCAGCAGCACACACTACAGTGCTTCCTCGCCCCCTGGCAGCAGCACACACTACAGTGCTTCCTCGCCCCCTGGCAGCAGCACACACTACAGTGCTTCCTCGCTCCCTGGCAGCAGCACACACTACAGTGCTTCCCTCGCCCCCTGGCAGCAGCACACACTACAGTGCTTCCCTCGCCCCCTGGCAGCAGCACACACTACAGCGCTTTATCCGCTTGTTGTAAACAGTTACTGACCTAACCTGGACGCTTTACGATCATCCAATAATTAAAACAAATACTCTGTTTTAAATGTATGTTAGAATATGGTATGATATACTGCTCTTGTGTAGAGTGACCTGGGGAAGGGTTGGGTCTGCCACAGCTGGTGAGTGGGACCTGGGGAAGGGTTGGGTCTGCCACAGCTGGTGAGTGGGACCTGGGGAAGGGTTGGGTCTGCCACAGCTGGTGAGTGGGACCTGGGGAAGGGTTGGGTCTGCCACAGCTGGTGAGTGGGACCTGGGGAAGGGTTGGGTCTGCCACAGCTGGTGAGTGGGACCTGGGGAAGGGTTGGGTCTGCCACAGCTGGTGAGTGGGACCTGGGGAAGGGTTGGGTCTGCCACAGCTGGTGAGTGGGACCTGGGGGAAGGGTTGGGTCTGCCACAGCTGGTGAGTGGGACCTGGGGAAGGGTTGGGTCTGCCACAGGAGGGACGAGTGTGACTGCCACAGAGAGGTGTGTGTGTGCGGGTAAGATTGAGTTAGCGAGAGAGCGTGACGTGAACACCTTCTGGCCAATTATATGCGCGTGTCTGATGACTGTTCTTCCAGTAATGTCTCTCTCGCTCTCTCTCTTCATGTCTCTCTCGCTCTCTCTCTCTCTCTCTGTCTCTCTCTCTCTCTGTGCCTCTCTCTCTCTTTATGTGTGTTTCTCTCTCTATCTCGTTTGTTTTCCCTCTCATACACAGTTTAAGCTTCAGAGCTGCAGCTGTAAACACAGACGCGCACCATAACATTCCGGGACCAGAGAATTCAAAAACAAATTAATGGCACGGAAAATATGCAAATTTGGAGGATTATAATGGGGGCGGCCCGAGGGCGGGAGGGTAAATTATCCCGCTCTCCCCACTTTGGTTCAAGATCCAATTTACTCGCTTTTTTGTTTATCAAAATTTCGGCCTTAAACGTGATTATTCTAAAGGGTTCTGGAAGGGCTCGGGAAGGGCTGTGATTGGCCATGAGGAAGTGATATAGAGGATGTTATTGGATGCCTACGCCTAGAAGAAAGAGAGACGGGCTGTGACTGGCTAGGAGGACGAGGGCGGCTGGACGGTGTCGGTTCCAAAGTCTATGAAGAGATAACAAATAAGACTGGCTGTGTGACAGGACGAGGACCACGACCCGGGCTTATTGAGAGCATATTAGCCGGATTTGGAGGATGTGAAGCTTGATTGTAACCGACTGGAAGATTGTGAAGCGAGACTTCCATTGGGAAGAAGATTGTGAAGCAGAGTTGAGAGTGGCTGGAGAGTTGAGAGCGAGTGCTCGGTGGGTGCTGGCGGAGAGTGTCAACACTGTGGACATATATTTGGGATAAAGTATTCGAGCTCTTACAAGTGTTGTGGCACCCTTGGCTCTACACCCGCGCCCCACCATGCTCCAGGTTGTAGTGACGCCTCTAGGTTTACCAGCAGGTGTCTAGGACATCTTGGTTAGTTTGGTTCTGTCCCCGAAGTCCAGAATGGACTCGCTGATGGAAGTGTGTGACCACCAGGGCCACACGCGGGCCACACGCGGACCACACTCGGGCCACACGCGGGCCACACGCGGGCCACACGTGGACCACACGCGGGCCACACGCCTGCCTTCATTGTCGGAAAGTTTCAGACGTGATTCTTCCAAAGAAAGAGGTAATGAGCGGAGGGAGTGAGGCGGGTGTGGAGAAGCTTGCACAAGAGGCTCCGGAGCGCTGCCTCCAACAGCACGAGACCAGTTCCTGAGAATGTTGCCCCGGCATGCAAGACCTATAAAAAGATACGTTGCCAAAATAGACAAGATCGAACACGACTCCTTACCAAGCCACGAATAAAGACTGACATCAGCAGACTTCCCGCGCTGCAGGAGAGGACGAACACAGCAGACATAACCATATAATAGATATGAAGTGAGGTGACCACACAGCAGACAATCTGGGGTTAAAGCTGCGAGCAGCACAACAAAGGACAGATGTGGAAGATGGAGACACCAAAGAAACACAAACAATTTCTTTAGCAATGACCAGTATGGGGTGACGGGGGACACGACTCCCTGTCCCAGCACCCAGACTGTGTCACACCACTGTCCCAGCACCCAGGCTGTGTCACACCACTGTCCCAGCACCCAGGCTGTGTCACACCACTGTCCCAGCACCCAGGCTGTGTCACACCACTGTCCCAGCACCCAGGCTGTGTCACCCCACTGTCCCAGCACCCAGGCTTTGACACACCACTGTCCCAGCACCCAGACTGTGTCACACCACTGTCCCAGCACCCAGGCTGTGTCACACCACTGTCCCAGCACCCAGGCTGTGTCACACCACTGTCCCAGCACCCAGGCTGTGTCACCCCACTGTCCCAGCACCCAGGCTTTGACACACCACTGTCCCAGCACCCAGACTGTGTCACACCACTGTCCCAGCACCCAGACTGTGTCACACCACTGTCCCAGCACCCAGACTGTGTCACACCACTGTCCCAGCACCCAGGCTTTGACACACCACTGTCCCAGCACCCAGGCTGTGTCACACCACTGTCCCAGCACCCAGGCTTTGACACACCACTGTCCCAGCACCCAGGCTGTGTCACCAGCTGTGGGAGTGGGTGCTGGGCCACCAGCTGTGGGAGTGGGTCTTGGGCCACCAGCTGTGGGAGTGAGTCTTGGACCACCAGCTGTGGAAATGAGTCTTGGACCACCAGATGTGAGAGTGGGTGCTGGGCCACCAGCTGTGGGAGTGGGTCTTGGGCCACCAGCTGTGGGAGTGAGTCTTGGACCACCAGCTGTGGGAGTGGGTCTTGGACCACCAGCTGTGGGAGTGGGTCTTGGGCCACCAGCTGTGGGAGTGGGTCTTGAGCCATCAGCTGTGGGAGTGGGTGTTGGGCCACCAGCTGTGGGAGTGGGTCTTGTGCCACCAGCTGTGGGAGTGGGTTTTGGGCCACCAGCTGTGGGAGTGGGTCTTTGACCACCAGCTGTGGGAGTGAGTCTTGGGCCACCAGCTGTGGGAGTTAGTCTTGGGCCACCAGCTGTGGGAGTGAGTCTTGGGCCACCAGCTGTGAGAGTGGGTCTTGTGCCACCAGCTGTGGGAGTGGGTCTTGGACCACCAGCTGTGGGAGTGAGTCATAGACCACCAGCTGTGAGAGTGGGTGCTGGGCCACCAGCTGTGGGAGTGGGTCTTGGGTCACCAGCTGTGGGAGTGGGTCTTGGGCCACCAGCTGTGGGAGTAGGTCTTGGGCCACCAGCTGTGGGAGTGGGTCTTGGGTCACCAGCTGTGGGAGTGGGTCTTGGACCACCAGCTGTGGGAGTGAGTCATAGACCACCAGCTGTGAGAGTGGGTGCTGGGCCACCAGCTGTGGGAGTGGGTCTTGGGTCACCAGCTGTGGGAGTGGGTCTTGGGCCACCAGCTGTGGGAGTGGGTCTTGGGCCACCAGCTGTGGGAGTGTGTCTTGGACCACCAGCTGTGGGAGTGGGTCTTGGGCCACCAGCTGTGGGAGTGAGTCTTGGACCACCAGCTGTGGGAGTGGGTCTTGGACCATCAGCTGTGGGAGTGGGTCTTGGGCCACCAGCTGTGGGAGTGAGTCATAGACCACCAGCTGTGAGAGTGGGTGCTGGGCCACCAGCTGTGGGAGTGGGTCTTGGGTCACCAGCAGTGGGAGTGGGTCTTGGGCCACCAGCTGTGGGAGTGAGTCTTGGGCCACCAGCTGTGGGAGTGGGTCTTGGACCACCAGCTGTGGGAGTGGGTCTTGGGCCACCAGCTGTGGGAGTGGGTCTTGGACCACCAGCTGTGGGAGTGGGTCTTGGACCACCAGCTGTGGGAGTGAGTCTTGGACCACCAGCTGTGGGAGTGGGTCTTGGACCACCAGCTGTGGGAGTGGGTCTTGGACCACCAGCTGTGGGAGTGGGTCTTGGACCACCAGCTGTGGGAGTGGGTCTTGGGCCACCAGCTGTGGGAGTGAGTCTTGGGCCACCAGCTGTGGGAGTGGGTCTTGGACCACCAGCTGTGGGAGTGGGTCTTGGGCCACCAGCTGTGGGAGTGAGTCTTGGGCCACCAGCTGTGGGAGTGGGTCTTGGGTCACCAGCTGTGGGAGTGGGTCTTGGGCCACCAGCTGTGGGAGTGTGGTCTTGGACCACCAGCTGTGGGAGAGTGTCTTGGACCACCAGCTGTGGGAGTGGGTCTTGGGCCACCAGCTGTGGGAGAGTGTCTTGGACCACCAGCTGTGGGAGTGGGTCTTGGACCACCAGCTGTGGGAGTGGGTCTTGGACCACCAGCTGCGGGAGTGGGTCTTGGACCACCAGCTGTGGGAGTGAGTCTTGGACCACCAGTTGTGGGAGTGGGTCTTGGGCCACCAGCTGTGGGAGTGGGTCTTGGACCACCAGCTGTGGGAGTGGGTCTTGGGCCACCAGCTGTGGGAGTGGGTCTTGGGCCACCAGCTGTGGGAGTGGGTCTTGGACCACCAGCTGTGGGAGTGGGTCTTGGGCCACCAGCTGTGGGAGTGGGTCTTGGGCCACCAGCTGTGGGAGTGGGTCTTGGGCCACCAGCTGTGGGAGTGGGTCTTGGGCCACCAGCTGTGGGAGTGGGTCTTGGACCACCAGCTGTGGGAGTGAGTCTTGGGCCACCAGCTGTGGGAGTGGGTCTTGGGCCACCAGCTGTGGGAGTGGGTCTTGGGCCACCAGCTGTGGGAGTGGGTCTTGGGCCACCAGCTGTGGGAGTGGGTCTTGGGCCACCAGCTGTGGGAGTGGGTCTTGGGCCACCAGCTGTGGGAGAGTGTCTTGGACCACCAGCTGTGGGAGTGGGTCTTGGACCAACCGCTGTGGGAGTGGGTCTTGGACCACCAGCTGTGGGAGTGAGTCTTGGGCCACCAGCTGTGGGAGTGGGTCTTGGACCACCAGCTGTGGGAGTGAGTCTTGGGCCACCAGCTGTGGGAGTGAGTCTTGGGCCACCAGCTGTGGGAGTGAGTCTTGGGCCACCAGCTGTGGGAGTGAGTCTTGGACCACCAGCTGTGAGAGTGGGTCTTGTGCCACCAGCTGTGGGAGTGGGTCTTGAACCACCAGCTGTGGGAGTGAGTCTTGGACCACCAGCTGTGGAAGTGGGTCTTGTGCCACCAGCTGTGGGAGTGGGTTTTGGGCCACCAGCTGTGGGAGTGGGTCTTTGACCACCAGCTGTGGGAGTGAGTCTTGGGCCACCAGCTGTGGGAGTGAGTCTTGGGCCACCAGCTGTGGGAGTGAGTCTTGGGCCACCAGCTGTGGGAGTGAGTCTTGGACCACCAGCTGTGAGAGTGGGTCTTGTGCCACCAGCTGTGGGAGTGAGTCTTGGACCACCAGCTGTGAGAGTGGGTCTTGTGCCACCAGCTGTGGGAGTGGGTCTTGGGCCACCAGCTGTGAGAGTGGGTCTTGGACCACCAGCTGTGGGAGTGGGTCTTGGACCACCAGCTGTGGGAGTGGGTCTTGGACCACCAGCTGTGGGAGTGGGTCTTGGACCACCAGCTGTGGGAGTGGGTCTTGGGCCACCAGCTGTGAGAGTGGGTCTTGGACCACCAGCTGTGGGAGTGGGTCTTGGACCACCAGCTGTGGGAGTGGGTCTTGGACCACCAGCTGTGGGAGCGGGGCGTCTTGTCCATATTATAGTAATCTTTCCAGTATTGTTGTAATCTGGTGTCCAGTGGTTTAATCTTCAGGGTTTCACGAAGCCTCTGGGTTGTCTGGTCGTATGGTGGGGTGGACCTCCATACGGGCTTTTTTTTTGGCATTTCTCGAAGTGTTTACATGTTGGTTGTATTTAAGGTACGTAGAGGTACAGGAGGACATTAGAGCTGTGACGGGACTAGGGGCCTCGCATCAGTGCAGCTGTGTGATGGACTCTCCAAGGCCTGTTAATACTGTGTTTATACTGTCATATGTGGAGATGTGGAGTCCTCTTGATCTCGCGTCACAGTATTGTGCCGACGGCAGCTGCAGGCAGCACCCGGAGTGGCTGCACGCTAACCACACAGACTCGTAGTACTGATAGTACTGGTTGGACCGGAGGCGAGAGGCGGCGTCATATAACATAAAAATGATCTGCAGATCACAGGTAACTGCAGATCAAAGGCCTATTGGCCCATACGAGGCGGCTTCTATTTATAATCACCCAATCCCGTTCATATATATGTGTTTAACCTACACTTGAAACTATTAAGGGACCCCAAATCAATTATGTTGCGCGGTAATTGGTTCCACAAATCTACAACCCTGTTATCGAACCAGTATTTACCCAGGTCTTTCCTAAATCTAAACTTATCCAATTTATACGCATTAATTCGTGCTCTATTTTGTGACCTATTTATTTTTAAACCTCATCTTCAGGAAGACATAGTTGCTCAGGAGAAGGTGCAACACCGGGCAACAAAATCATACCAGAGCTAAGTCATCTCACATATCAGGAACGGTTGAGGGCCGCAGGGCTACCAACACTACAGACCAGACATGACGGGGCGGATCTTATCGAAACTTTTAAAACAATGAAAGATTTGGAGGATGTTGATCCGGACACTTTCCTCTGAAGGTCAGATGTAACACGAGCAAGCAGCAACTGGTTCAAGCACAAGCCACAATGTAGGACAGAAAACAGGAGAGGCTTTCTCACCCATAGAGTTGTAAACCCATGGAACCGCCTACCCGCCCAAGCCCTAAAAACCAAAACTGATGGATTTTAAAATTCAGCTGGAATAGATCATCAGGGCAAATGGGGGACGTTTGATAAGCTACCGGCTTCCTGTTGTCATCGAGGCCACTAGAGTTAGTGGCCCTCAGGTACATTCAGGTAAACTTAAGTATTGGTAGTTGTGAGTTGATCTCTTAAGTTGGGACAGGTTATGGCTGAGGGT